AAGTGGCCAGTTTCATGCACTTAATAAAACAAGTAGAAGAAATAATGCGGAATTAAAACTTGCATAAAATCATGGAAAATGGTTCATAAGTCCCACATAGGGTTCAAAATAAAATTCTAGAAATGAAGTGTTTAACTACTCATGATTAAATTAAAAGCTAAATAAAACTAAGTCATGGAAGATAAAAACTATGCTTGAATCTTCAAAATCTTCGTTATTGCTTCTTTGCTCTCGAATTTGCATAAAACTGAGGACTCTTAATTATGTGCTCGATATGGCTTTTTATAAGGTCGGAACATTTGTGGAAAAGACAGTTTTCTTTAAACTTTTGGAAGTTTCTTTAGTGCGTAGTCTTTCCTTCTTGGATGTTTGACTTCTCCAATTTTGTCCACCTTTCCTTCTAAATTGTAATTTTGACCCTCAACTTATTCAATTCTTCAATTTGTGCCTGAAACACAATAAATCAAAACTTTAAGCACCAATTATCAATAAAATATATTAAAAGCTCCAATTAAAAGATATGATTAAATGTAAAAATATACATTGTCGACAGACGATTAATAGTGATTAACAGTAGTTTACGATCAAAATTGATAATTGGTGAAATTGGGATTAAATTAAGGTTTTAAGTCATGAATTGAGTGTATTTAAAGGGTTATGAGATAATTTTATCGTGAAAATCAGACTCGTTTATCATAATTGAATCTGTAATTAAGTGGTGGGTTTTCTTTTGCATAGCACAAAAACTGAATGTTAATGTGTCAAGAACTTTCATGTTATTTTTTTACCAACACTCATTAGGAGAATTGGTACCTAGCCTTTACGAATAGGGTAAATATCTAGGGTTCAAGTCCCTCTCCCCTAATATTGAACTTGAATTTACTCACAAAAAAATGTCATTTTCCTAAAATTCTAATGAAAACCCAATTGTATCATTAGGTAAACAACTTCAACCTGTCGATGTTATAGAAAACCAGTACGGAACTCTCACGTGTTATTTTTATTTCGTAGAATCTCCCTATTTTGGTTTATCTTACATGAAATTCTCTATGCCGTTAACAATTGACACCATAACCATTGAGGGGATCCCATGCAAGGTTTTAGTTACACAAGGGGGTTTAGTGCATATTTTATTTAAGGGATTTATCAAAAAAAAAAAAAACATAAAACAAGTTATTTAAATTCGAATTGTTTTTTCAATTTCAGTAGACACGCCCATGGGCCGGTTTTCAGCCAGAATCGGTCCGTTGACAAACCGGACCGGCCCGTGTACCTCGGGACGGTCTTGGTTCTAGAAATAGGTGAACCGTGAACCACCGGCTCATCCCGGCGGTTCACCCGGAGTTAAAAAAAAAAAAGAAAAAAAGCTGAAACAGTCTGGTGAACTGGCCCAGTGAACCGGCCGTTATTTGCTCTTTTTTGAATTCCCCCCTCTCCTCCCCCCCTCATTTTTTCCTATAAATATCCTCAAACCCCATTTTTTTCCTATAAAATTAAGTTCAAATCCTTTTAATTTTCTATTTAAAAGTAATTATTTTAATTTATTTATCCATCAAGTATTTTCAATATATATATATATATATATATATATATATTTGTATATATATATTTCCGGGGCGACCCCGAACCGGCATGGATAGGCCTGGAACCGGAGTGAATCGACGGGCTGGCCCGGCCCGCCGAACCGTGTGTAGTACGGGCCGGTTCCGGTTCCGAAAAAAGTGAACCGCGAACCGAAGTGAACCGGCCCATGGCCGTGTATAAATTTAAGTCCAACATATTTACTCAATTGAACCGGCCTGTTTGGCTAAGCTTATTTAAAACATCTTATAAGCTCCTACATCTGATAAGATGTTTTAGGAGCTGATAAGCTGTTAGATCTTATTTTAAAAATTATTTTTTAAGGTGTTTGGATATTTAGCTTATAAGTTACTTTTAGTTTTATAAGTTGTTCATGTATTTGAAAATAAAAGGTCTATCGCTATAATTACAAAAAAGTACATGATGTCATTATAACTGTTAAACTTATTTGACTCAAATACTTTTGTTCATAAAATATTATTATAATATTTACAAATTAATTATTCAAATAAAAATATTAATATAAGAATGATATATTAATATAAAATAAATGTTGTAAAAGAAATGTAATTTTGTTTTATAGATAAAAAAAGTATAATTTATTATTGAGATAATAAGAATATTTCTGTGTTTTATATACATATAAAATGTAAATAGAGCATAATTTTTTTTTTTAAATTATTATGATAATTGTACTTTAACTAATAATTAATCTTGATTACAAGAATACGTTGTTTTGATAAAATATAAATGTTATTAGTATTCATGTAATAAAATAAATTATTTGATGGTAATTTGAGTGTTTTAGTAAATAATCAAATAAAATCTTAAAGAAAAAAAGTTGGGATGGAGGTACTTTTTTAAAAACATCTTATAAGCTCTCTAACAGCTTATTTTTGGAAGAAATAAATCTTTTCTAATTTTTTTACCAAATATTTTTAAACAACTTATAAATTATTTAACATCTTACACATGTTTTTAGGAGTTTATAAGCTTAGCAAAAAGGCTCTAAGGACTAATGGTAATAACTATAAGGATGACTTTTTCTTTTTGCCGTTTCCATTATTTATTTATTTATTATTTTTTTATAAATAAAATTGTTTTTCTAATTTGATTCTACTTTTTTACAAAAATAAATTGCATCAAAATTAAAACTAAATAAAATTATGAAAATTTTCAAGTTTGGTTAAATTTTTTATTTACCAATATTTAAAAAAAAAAATCTTTCAAAAATATATATATATATTTATACTATTAACACTGTTACAAATTTATATAATTTAGCTTCGGTGTATTATATGCAAAAAGAATAAAAGAAATATGAAAATTTGAATTTACTTTTGATATAAATATTAATATAAATAATTTTGAAAATTCGACTTTGAAAGCTTGAATAAATGCACTTAACTGAATTTGAAAAATAATTCATGTTTTAAATAAATAGTTTATTTTTGCATAAATTCAATTTTTATAGTAGAAACATTCATCAAACCTCCTTATGTAACGAAAAACTATCATATAACCCAAAACTATCATATAACCCCTTAATAGTTAATGGTGTTACCGGTTAACGAAATAGAAGATTTCGTGGAAGATACGCAATAAAATTAACACAACAATGTTTGATACAGGTTTTCTATAACACAAAGGGAATAGGGGTTTTATGTTGTTTACTCTGATTTCATTGGATCAGGGAAGATCAAATAAGAGGGTGTTTGGCTAAGCTTATAAGATGTTAAAATGAGCTTATAAGATGTTCAACAGCTTATAAGCTCTTCCAAAGTGTTTGATAATTTTTTCAAAAAAAGATCTTATTTTTTTTAAAATAAGCTGTTTGAGAGCAGATAAGATCTTTTTAAAAAAGTACATCTACCCCACCTTTATATTTAAGATCTTATAATGAGTAAAAATAGGAAATAAGTTCATTATCCAAACACTCTAAAAATTAATCCTAAAAATAAGATGTAACAGCTTATCAGCTCTTAAAACATCTTATCAGACGTAAGAACTTATCAGCTGTTTAAAATAAGCTTAGCCAAACGCACCCTAACTAATCTTTCTAAAATGGATGCTAAAATAGTATTTTTGTGTTGATGCAAAGGGTTTTGGCACTTTACACCTTTGAATTACACTCTTTTAACACTTTGCACCCTTAAATTGTAAAATTGGCAGATTGCACCCTTTAAACATAAAATGTTTGGTACTTTGCACCCTAAATCACTTTTGACTTAGAAAAATTACCTGCAACTTGTTGAAAATCAGAAATATGAGCAAATTCATAATTCTCTAATTATCAATCATTTTTCCCCAATTCTTAATCATCGTTCCACCATTTTTATATTTCGTCCTATTAATAAAAAAATCATAAATTCTTCTTAGCCGTTTCTATTTGCCATAATATGTAAATTTTGAACTAAAATTAAAGAATGGTCGGAATATATAGACAAGAGTCCGATAACACACCTTCAGAAAATCAAGTTTTATTCCATGGTAACAGTATTTTTTTTAATAACTTTGCAGATCCAAACTATTAAATTGGAGCACAAAAATTTTCCCATCATGAAACTAATAGGCACCACCTTTCTACCACCAAATAAACTTCTCAGTAGTCTTATTTTGTCATTTGACTATTAAAAAAAAAATTGGGGCTCGACCTAAAATTTTCAGTTACATTATTTTTCATACTCAAAAGATAAAAAAAGAAGTGATTTACTATTATTGTTTAGTGTTTATACTTTATACCAATTTTACCATTGAAAGAAATGGCTAAAAAGATTTTAGAATTTTTTGATTGAAGGGACGAAAGATAAAAATGGTGGAACGATGATTAAGAATGGGGGGAAGATGATAGATAATAAAAAAATTATGAATTTGCCCATCTTCCAGGTTCCCAGCAGATTGCAGGTAAGTTTTCTAAGCCGAAAGTGATTTGGGGTGCAAAGTGCCAAACAATTTATGTTTAAATAGTGCAATCTGCCAATTTTGCAATTTAAGAGTGCAAAGTGCCAAAAACCCCCTAGAAAATTATTAAATTTACCGAACATCAGCAAAGTCTAATTAGACCTCGTTTGATTGGGGAAGTTAGCCATAAACATAATTAACTATATAATTGAACTTGATTTGATGTTTGGTATCCCTAAACACTAGTCAGATCCATATGCAAATATTATATTATCATAATTTATCTTATTTTCTAAACGTGTTTTTTATGAGTTCATCGAGTGTTCAATAATATAACTAGGTCTCATTAAATTATTTATTAATTTTATCTTGGCAACTAAACGAAACATTATTGAGTTAATCTAATGAGCCAACTCAAGAGTCTTAGGGACTAATATGCAACTTCTTAAAAATACAGGGGCCTTTAACACCAAAAAAAAACCCCGACAGCAGTCTCCAGAAACTCCACTATAAACTTTCCTTCAAAAGAGTCCACCGTCACAAAACAACACGAGAGATGGCTGGATACAGGGCTGGCGGCGAAGATGAGTATGATTATCTGTTCAAGCTCGTGTTAATAGGAGATTCCGGTGTCGGAAAATCGAATCTACTATCTAGGTTCACCAAAAATGAATTCAATCTAGAGTCAAAGTCCACCATAGGCGTTGAGTTCGCCACCAGGAGCCTCGATATCGACGGTAAAATCATCAAAGCTCAGATTTGGGACACCGCCGGTCAAGAGAGGTCAACCCCCCTTTTCTTTTTTCCGATTAAGATTTGATATAGTGTATGCTGATCTCTATGTGTGTGTGTTAGTGTGTGAAGATTGCTTTTAGGGTAGAAGATATCCCCTAAATTAGGGATTGTCTGAGTGTCTTCTGGAATATGACGTCATCGTTGGGATTTTTTTTTTTTTTTATGTTTACCTGGTGAGTCAATATTTCTTGACGGTGAATGCGACCTTTCTAAGGTCTTGTTTGGTTTGGTTTGGTTTGGGAGATTAGCCATGATTAACTAAATAATGCTGCGACTTTGTTTGATGGATGGTATCCCACAGTAACTTGTCGGGTTGACCTGTGCAAATATTATGTTATCATGCCTTATCTCGCCTTTTAGGCATGTTTTTAATTGGATCCTCCAACGCCCGACAATACGAATGGGTTTCATTAGAATATTTGATTTTATCTTGGCAATCAAACGAGGCCTAACTTGATTTTTTTGTTTTGTCTTCAGGCTTTTATGACATGCTAGTTTAGTATATATGAATAACAAATTTATTTATGCAAACATGTTACATTTATGTATGTTTATTATGTGACACACACACACACACACACACACACACACATATTTCAGCTCCTTTGGTACATCTAAGTTCGGCTCCGCTGATATTCTAACATGAAACTTGTTTATTTGGATTTCATTGACCTCTATTTCCTTCAATCCTCTAATCTCAATTTTCTTATAGTTTTTCTTTGTGAGCGCAAAGCTTGCTAATATCACATATGTAAATATTTGTATTATTTGAAATTCGAGGCATTTACCATGCAATGGGAAAAACGGAAGGGAGAGGACTTGAAATCTTGATGGTTTGCCTTTTTTTCCTCGATTTTGTTTCTTGATACAATATGCTAATAGGATTTAGGATCACTTTCCAATGGTGCGGGGACTTGATAACTACTTCCATCTCTATTCTTGAATAAAGACTTGTTTCTTCGTTAATGAAGTGCGCCGGTAGACTTCTCATTGTTGGATTCTGATTTTTTTTTTTTTTTTGGCTACATCTGCTGGAAGTTGCATATCTCGTAGGAGGTGGGATGCTGTGAAAAGTCCATTTTACCCCCACTTCCTTAGTAAAAATACAAAATATACCCTCCAGATCTAGCCATGAATGGGCATATTCTGATTATTTCCATAGTTACAAGAAAAGCATAATTCATTTGGGGGATAGAGTAAAAACACCAACCAGTTATGAATTGAGGGTTTAGGGTTTATTTGATAGAGGGGTAAATTAGGGATATTACTATATTTTTTGCTGAAAGTTTATTTATATTTTACTAATACTACACATCCTGTAAATACAATCACTCATTTAATCAATAATTAGTTTTTGATATAAATTGTGATTTTATAAGTATACTATTTGTTCGACAGATATCGTGCGATTACTAGTGCTTACTACAGAGGAGCAGTAGGGGCATTGCTTGTATACGATGTGACACGTCGCTCGACTTTCGAGAATGTAATAAGATGGCTTAAAGAATTGAGAGACCACACGGACCCAAATATCGTGGTAATGCTAATCGGCAACAAATCGGATCTTAGGCATCTTTTGGCTGTTTCGACTGAAGATGGTAAAGAATTAGCCGAGAGGGAATCTTTATACTTCATGGAGACTTCTGCTTTGGAAGCAACGAATGTGGCGAATGCGTTTAGTGAAGTCCTTTCTCATATTCATATGATTGTTAGCAGAAAGGCTGTCGAAGCTGCCGATGAAGTTGCTACTGCTTCTTCGGTTCCGTCTGTTGGAGAAACTATTAACATTAGAGATGATGCATCTACTTGGAAGAAATTCGGGTGTTGTTCGTCCAGTTAGGGAGAAATTAAAAAAAAAAAAAACCAGGTTAATTAATTACTTTTGCATAGTGTTTTTTTTTTGTGTACATATTATCATGTGTCTTTCGGACTTCATGATTTTCTATATGACTAATTATGCGTTGTTTGCAAGTGAGTTTTCTGTCGATTATGCATGCGCGTTTTACTATGCATGTATGCGAGAAATTGAATGAGGTGTTGTTCGAATTTAGTTAGTATGATTTCGTATTGTATTGAGAGATTGTGTTTTGAGTTTGGTTCGACTATTAGACTAGTTCAGTTTGGATGAGCGTTTATCGATTCGAACATTAGTCCAAGTTTAAGTAAGTAGTTTCGATACTCCACGGATTTAAGGTTTTTGGCTGATCGAGTTTCGATCAAGCCGTCAAGACAAGGTTGCCTGTCGGTAAGCACCTTGCACCTGGAATCTATTTAGTCAGGGAATTGGGGAACCAGTAACTATCCTCATTAAAGAAAATTATAATAGAAAATCATTCGTCCCCGAATCTTTACAGTGGAAAAACAAAAAAGAAGAAAAAGAAAGAAAAAAATTAAAGAAATGATGAGATGGACAAGAACTCGTGCAACTCAAGTTCTTCACTATTGTATGAATCCCAAAGCACATCTATTGCATGCACCAACGTTAAATTAAATCTTTATTAATGTTATATTCACTTTTTGTATCTTTATTAATTTTATATTCGACAATCCGGGCCTTATCCCGTGCCGCCGCAACAAGGTGTCTCCGACCTGCACCGCCGGAAAACCACGGAGTACTCCGGCAAGTCCCCGAGATCACCAAACAAGACCTTGTCCTCTTCCCCAATCGGCATCAACACTTCCGCATGGTCACCGTGGGCCCATGTTGGCCCCACGAGCGTAGTACCGTCCATCATCGTGGACCCCACGTCGCACAACCAGCCGAACTCACCGGCCAGCTCGACGAAGCCATTGTCCGCCGGCTCGATGTCCGGCTGGTTGGCGAAGGCCGCACATTCCTCCGGAGGGAAGTTGGCCGGAGGATCAATAGTGGTGGTGGTGGTGGTGGATGAGGAACGGGAAGTGGACTTGGCGGCCGCCACTGCCGCCAACGAGTGGTGGTGGTGGTGGTTCTTGGTGGTGGTGGGGAGAGGGTGGTTGTGTTCACAAGAGTAGGTGATAAGGAGTGTGGTGGGGTCGAGGCGGCTCCGCTCGACTTGTTTTCTAGCCGGGCAACCTTTCGAGCTGCTACACCGATAATATCCCCTGCAACCACAATCACATGATGCAATAAACAAACTAATTAGAATAAATATGACCAATAATTATGAAATCATGCAGACATACAGTACAAATTACTGTCTTGTCTTATAAGCCAATTAATATCAATAAAAGTTGTATAAAACGACACCGTTTAACACTCTTCTTAAATGTAGTTGAAATATGAATTTTACCATCCTAGGCAATATAGAACTTAGACACATTGCAATAGGTCATATGCTTGATGGGTGATCCAAAATGAGCTAATTGCAAAACATGTGTTATATATATATATATATATATATATATATATATATATATATATATATATATATATATATATATATATATATATATATATATATATATATATATATATATATATATATATATATATATATATATATATATATATATATATATATATATAATTGGCACAAGTTCCTCTTTTGTTGTTTTTAGGAATCTATTAAATATTAATAATCTTATATACTAATCTAACTTTTTTCAAATAATCATACATCTTTTCATTTTTTAACATCTATCATGCCTCTCATTTCTCTCCCCAGCCCCGTGACTTACTAGATCCTACACCAAGTGAAATACACTATGTGATTTTAAACTGTAGATCTATATAAATAACTACCCAGTAAGCACACATACGCATGAATGTATCTGTTATTATGTGTAGATCAATGGTGTAAAACTACATAGTTTATTTCACCAGATGTATGCTCTACAAAACCCCTTTGCCATCAAATGCCGCCGCAGTTGTCGACAAGATTTTATTTGCAAAGAAACTTGCGATCATTACAAAATTACGCAACCAACCCTTCGTACGAGAGTTTTGGTCGAATGTATCCACAAACATGAAGACTAGTTCGACCCTACACCCGGTGATAAAAACAGGGTGTGTCTTCTGCTGCCACGTGTCCCTTTTTTTATTGTTCTAAAACCCCTAAAGGTAAACTCC